GGAAGGAAGGCGGCCAGTGCCGAGTGCAGATGGACGTGGCATAGCGACCTCGCGGCCCTAGGTGCCATGCCCCGTTTCTGGGTAGATCCGGGCCCGGCCTTGCCCCTCCCCCTCGCATGGGCATATTGGCTGCTTGAAGGGGCCTTGGGGTGTGTGGGAACCTGAGATGTAGGAGTTATGGAGACTTTGCCCAGACCTTGGTGCAGGACCTCCTCTCACTCACTCGGAGCGTCACTGGGAAGGCAGAGAGGGCCTGCAGCCCTACTATGACAGCTGCTCGGGTGTTCCCCCAGGAGAGGCCCAGCCGGACCGTGGGGGTGTCTGTCTCCCTGTTCCCATCGTCCGGTCCTCTTTACACTGCGCCTCTGTCGGCCCACAGGTTAGCACTAGTGCCCCCTGGGAATGAGTATTGTGTGACTGCCACCCCCAAGGCCACCCCACATGGGATTTTGGAGGAGATCAAGACCTTTTTCTCTCTGCCTCTGGCTTTAGTTTGCTTTTCTGTGGGCCCTGGGCCAGTTGTCCTGCGGGCTGCAGGCCTGGCACTAGCTCTCCTTCTGGCTGCAGGACTGTGTCCATGCCAGGAAGGAGCATCAGAAGCTTGGGGCTGAGGCGGAGTGGGGTTGCTGGCCAGCCAAGAGCACCCCTGCCCAGTCTCCTGCCAGTCCCTGCCCTTGCCTGTAAGCGCTTCTGCTGGGCAGGCAGTTTCCTTAGACACCAGGTGTCTCCTGCCTGCCCATAGCTGGGATGTGGGCCAGGTGAGGGGTGCATAGATACCTAGGACATGTCAAGGGGCCCCGACTCTTACATTTCTTCTCCAGCCTGAACGTGAGCCACAGAGCCTCTTTGCTATTCAGCAAGAAGGGCTGCCATGGGTCAGAGGCAGTTAAGATTCTCTTCCTTCGGCAGTCTTTTTCATTTTTTTATTAATTTTTAAAATTTTTATTGATTTCAGAGAGGAAGGGAAAGGGAGAGCGATAGAAACATCGATGATGAGAGAAACTCATTGAAGGGCTGCCTCCTGCACGCCCCCTACTGGGGATAGAGCCCGCAACCCAGGCATGTGCCCTTGACAGGAATTGAACCCAGGACCCTTCAGACCTCAGACCGACGCTCTATCCACTGAGCCAAACCGGCTAGGGCTCTTTGGCAGTCTTTGATGAGGGGGGAGAGAGTAACCCTTTGATATATTTTTCACTAGAGTCTGCCAAGGGAACTCCCGAGGGATATTGCTCTGAGTTGCTCTTGGCCTTGGGAGGTTAAAGACCCCACCCCTCCCATTCACCCTGTTGCTTTTCCTTCCTGTGCTCAGGTGCCAGCTGCTTTTCTTAGTCAAGTTGGGAGTGTTCCTGAAGTGTGGGGGGGACTGAGCCATCGGGGCCCCTGGGCTGTGGACGGTGCTTTGCCATACTTGTGCAGGCCTGTACCCCCTTCGGGGGTTTGCTGTGACCACGGCCCAGTCTAGTGTTTTACAGCTGCCATGCTTTGGCTGGGGCCCCAGGGTTCTGGTCCTAACCGGAAGGCCCCTCCCTCCCCTTTCCCATCTCAGGCCATGCCTGTTGGTTGCTTCAGTCCAACTGGGCAGGCAGCAATGCCTACTTTGTCAGAACATGCCCTGCTCCTGCTCAGCCCCCTGGGGTCCCTTGAGCTCTTATGAAACCTGTGTGACTGAGCGGCCCTGACACTTGGCTGTGTGCAGCTTGTCCTGTGCTGTGTGGTGTTCATATGCTGCACTTATAAATTGTTCTCAGGCCCAGCCGGCTTGGCTCAGTGGTTAAGCGTCGACCTATGAACCAGGAGGTCACGGTTCAATTCCCGGACAGGGCACATGCAGACTTGATCCCCAGTGTGGGGCATACAGGAGGCAGCCGATCAGTGATTCTCTCTCATCGTTGATATTTCTATCTCTCTCTCCCTCTCCCTTCCTCTCTGAAATAAATAAAAAATATATTTAAAATTAATAAATAAGTTGTTCTCGGGTTCATTCCCTCTCATCTCCCTTTATTAAGATAGAGACGCTTTCGAGGGCAGGCCATGTATCTGCCTTGTGTGGCATTATGGGAACTTTTATGTTCCTTGGTGAACTCTGAGCCCTGGAGGCAACAGACATTTTGAGCAACTGCCTTGGTGGCACCCCAGGTCCTTAGACCTTCCACTGCCCTTGTTTGTAGCTCTCTAAGCTGAAATCAGCAAGATCCTAGTGGGGGGGCACAAGACGGGTTCAGCCCTGAAGGGACAGCAGGGACCAGAGGGCTCCAGGCTCTGCCCCTCTCCCTACCCCATGCTGCTTCCCCTGGCATGGCAGGCCCTGCCCCTTTTAAGTACCCCTTCTCATCCAGTAACACTCACTTTTCTCTCTTCATAGCGACTTCCTGATTCTCCCAGGATTCATAGACTTCATAGCTGATGAGGTGGTGAGTACCTCTTCTGCTAACCCCGGGGAGAGAGGCTGTGCATAAGGTGGAAGAGGCTGATTTCTTGCTCAGGGGCAGGAAGAGAAGAGACTTTTCTTGGGAATGTGGTGGATATAGCCTTTATTGCTGCCAGAGAAGCTGACACAGTGCAATGGGCTGTGCTTAATGTGGCAGAGGCAGCTGCAGGGATTCGCGGTATCCTGAGTGGTGGGCCTGGCCCAGGGCCAGAGGGCTCTCTGTCACTGACAGAGCCTGCCACGAGGTTCACAGGGAAGCGGGTGGGCGTGCATGCGGCTGTCTTCTTTTTTTTTGTGGCTGTCTTTTTACTGTAAACTGGAAGGATCGGGTTTTTGTCTGAAATGCTGAGCAGGGACATGATAGAAGCCAATAAAATTATGCAGACTTTGAATGACATGGACAGACTTGTTCACAGATCCAGATATACAAGATTTGGCAAGAGGGTTTAAAGAAGTTAGATTTTTGACAAATACAAAAAACACAGTACCTTGCTTGCCTGAAGGGCTCAGCTATAAGCCAAGTGAATGAGCAATATCTTTTACCTAATTAACATATGATGAACTCACAGAATCTAGGGGTGTAGTGCTGATAGAAGTAAGTTATTTCACAGAAAAGTTAGATTATTTGCTTGGCCAGCGTGCCTCAGTGGTTGAGCGTCGACCTATGAACCAAGTGGTCATGGTTCCATTCCCAGTCAGGGCATGTGCCCAGGTTGCGGGCTCAATCCCCAGTGTGGGGCGTGCCGGAGGCAGCCTGTCAATGATTCTCTCTCATCATTGATATTTCTATCTCTCCTTTCCACTCTGATATCAATTTAAAAATATTTTTTAAAAGTTAGATTATTATTATTTTTTTAAATATAGTTTATTGATTTTTTACAGAGAGGAAGGAAGAGGGACAGAGAGTCAGAAACATCGCTGAGAGAGAAACATCGATCAGCTGCTTCCCGCACACCTCCCACTGCGGATGTGCCCACAACCAAGTTACATGCCCCTGACCGGAATCAAACCTGGGACCCCTCGGTCCGCAGGCTGACGCTCTATCCACTGAGCCAAACCAGCTAGGGCAAAAGTTAGATTATTTTAAGGTGAATTCGTACATACTAAGAACATTCCTCTTGTCGCTGTTATCAGTGATATTTACTGAGGTCTGATTCTCATGAAAGGCCAGAGGGCCTAAGTGTGCCTGGCTCGCTTGCCCCGGGGGAAGTGTTGGCCCCGCCCGTGTAGCCAGTGCTGACCCAGACAGATTTTTAGGGGAAATTGGAGCTATTCTGGATATTTAGTTAGATTATTTTTAAAAATATATATTTTTATTAAGTTCAGAGAAGAAGGGAGAGGGAGAGAGAGTTAGAAACATTAATGGTGAGAGAGAGAATCATCGATTGGCTGCCTCCTGCACGCCCCCCACCGTGTAGCCAGTGCTGACCCAGACAGATTTTTAGGGGAAATTGGAGCTATTCTGGATATTTGCCTTACGACAGCAGTAAGGAAGCCTTCATGGCTCAGCTGTTCAGTTGAACCAAGTTTACCCAGCACCTGGCTTTGTGCCAGACCCTGGGTAGGATTCTAGGAAGAGGGGGACAGAACATATCCCTCCCGGCCATCGAGGGTCTCTGTCCTGTGGCCTCTGTCGGGAAGGCTGTGGCTCTTCGGTGGTGTGATGGGAGAGGAGAAGGAGGAGTTCTCTAGTGTATGGGTCCAGGGCTCTTAACCAGGGTCTATGAATGGACTTCGGGGCCTGTGACTCTCCAGAAACTATATACCAAAGTCTGTGTCTGAACGTTCGGGGTCTAGGATCCATAGCTGTTGGCCCACACCTCATGATCTGGCCCTGCCTGCCGTTCATAGGCAGATACCTCCCAGATCTATACTTGCAGGCCTGACCCTCCCTTGAGCTGCAGTCCCTCAGTCATCTACTTTCCTGGATGCCTAAAGACACCTTCCCATGCCTTCCCGCTCCCCATCTCCAGCATCCCCTGCCTGGACCTGTCAGCGGTCTCCTTGCCGGTCCCCTTGCCGCAGGATTTGTCACCTAGAATCCATTCTCCACATTGGAGGCCGAGTGACCTCTTTACCATAAGTCAAATGGTGCCCCTCTTCTGCTTGTGGCCCCGGCAGTGGCTTTTCATCTCCGAATCCAGGCTGTCCCTGGCTTTCAAGGCCACACTTCCGTGCCCCCGCCAGCCACCTGCCTCTCTCACTTCCCTCTATTCCACTTGCCTTTTTCTTTCTTAAAAGCATCTCAGGAAGACTGGGAATCAGAGGCTGGAACCACAGTCCCTCAGACTTGGACTGGCTGCTACTTGTCGTCTCCTGAGAAAGGGGCTTTCCTGACCACCACACCCCACTTCCCGCGGTCACTTTTCCTCTTGCTTTTCTTTGGAGCCTTCATCCTGGCTGAAAGGATTTTGAGCATGTGTTGCCTGCTTGTCTTCTACTTCCCAGGGGAGTTTAAACCATGGGAGCGGTAGCAGGGGCCTCATCTGCCTTGTTCACTGCTGTATCCCCCGGCCCTCCCGGTGCCGGGTACACGCAGGAGCTCTGTGAATGTTTGCTGAGTGAGTGATCACACTCTTCACCTGCACTGTGCCTTCATCCTCAGGACCTGACTTCAGCTCTGACTCGGAAGATCACGCTGAAGACGCCCCTGACCTCCTCCCCCATGGACACTGTGACCGAGGCTGACATGGCCATCGCTATGGCTGTGAGTTGGGCACCTGGGTTGGGAGTCCAGGGTTGAGGGGACGGAAGAGGGTGGGCTGGCATCAGGAGGAATTGGAGTCAGGGGTGGGGTTTTCAGAGTGAGGAGGGACGGGCCCCTGCCTCTGACCGTGCTTCCCTCCCACCCCAGCTGATGGGCGGTATTGGTTTCATTCACCACAACTGCACTCCAGAGTTCCAGGCCAATGAGGTGCGGAAGGTGAAGGCAAGTACCAGGCCTACCCCCGGGAAGAAAATGCCACCCGGCGGCCCCCAACTCCCTGGCCAGCCCCGCAGGCTGGTGCATTCCCTAGTCGATTGCTGTGGGGTCTTGTCTGCCCTTCTCCACAGTGCGGGGCACAGGGCCCAGCCCTCATTTCCCACTGGCCCCTCACCCCACTCAGGGCCCTGGCCAGGGCACCTTCTCCCCCCTTGACCGGGCTGGACACCACCTCAGGCTTTCTTCCAGCCTTTCCTTTCCCCTGTCTCTGCCCACAGAAATTTGAGCAGGGCTTTATCACGGACCCTGTGGTGCTGAACCCCTCGCACACCGTGGGCGATGTGCTGGAGGCCAAGATTCGGCATGGCTTCTCTGGCATCCCCATCACGGAGACCGGCACCATGGGCAGCAAACTGGTGGGCATTGTCACCTCCCGAGACATCGACTTTCTCGCAGAGAAGGACCACACCGTCTTCCTCAGCGAGGTACCTGTAGGGCAGCGAACGTGTGGCCGGGGCAGAGAGAGGACCCCAAGGTGTCTGTGATAGGGACCAGAGGGAGGTCTGGCTCCCTTCTCTCTCACCTGCCAACCTGCAGGCAAATGTTCCTGACCCCACAGGTGATGACACCGCGGAATGAGCTGGTGGTGGCTCCTGCAGGTGTGACCCTGAAAGAGGCAAATGAGATCCTGCAGCGCAGCAAGAAAGGTACCAGGGAGCAGGCAGAAAGCTCAAGACCCGCCCCCAGCTGGGCTTCCTGTACCCCGGCTCCCCCTGCTCCTTCACAGCCATGCAGGTTGTCCCAGTGAGCAGATGGGGCCTTGGGGAAGGCTTGAATGACCCCAGGCTGGAGCATGATTCCTGAGGTCCTTTTCTTGGCGTAGGAAAGCCTGCCCCTTGTTCAGCATCTTCACGGTATTGGTTTCCCCAAAAAAGTAGCCCTGGGAAATGTTCATCATGAAAAAAGGGCTCTGTGGGCTTATAAGTCGGAAAAATGCTCTTTCCTATATTCCCTATCAATGCATAACAAATGGTACACTAGCTTATTAAAGGCTCCGAGAAGCCCTGAAACTAAATCTATTTGACATGGGATTGTTGACATAATATTCATTAGGTCCCTGGGAGACACTGGGACGTGCTTTCCTGGCCCACACTGGATTGTTCTCTGGGGGTGGTATTGTACAGGGCACATGTTTCTCCTGCAGGACAGCCTCACGTATGTGCCCTGGTTAGGAGTTTTTGACCACTGTGGCCTGTGGCCCAGCAGGTGAGAGGCTGCCAGAGCTCAGGGGCTGCCCACCCCAGCCTGGCCAGGCCCCAGGGCAGGAAGTGCTCCAGGAGCCCACTTGGCTTCAAGGTTCCTTTGCTTCCTGTTCCTCCGGAGGAGGTCCAGGTCCCTAGGAGGGCTTCCTGGGTGGTGCTGTCACCTAGCGGCCGGTTTGGGTATTTCAGTGGACTCTGACATGGTCCACCCCACTCCCAAGAGGACTCCGGAGGCCGCTCCTTCATCTCACCGCTGCATTCCTCCTCAGGGAAGCTGCCCATTGTCAATGATCGCGACGAGCTGGTGGCCATCATTGCCCGCACCGACCTGAAGAAGAACCGGGACTACCCTCTAGCCTCCAAGGATTCCCACAAGCAACTGCTGTGCGGGGCAGCTGTGGGCACCCGCGAGGACGACAAATACCGCTTGGACCTGCTCACCCAGGCGGGCGCCGATGTCATAGTGCTGGTACGGGCACCCCCCTGGGAGCAGCGGGGTTCCGTACAGTAGAGGCTTAGGGAGATCCAGGTTCGCCTCTGGTTGAGCCTGGAGCCACAATGAGGAGGGTCAGTGGTACTGACGGCTTAGACCAACTGTGGGCCCCTCTGAGGGCCTCTGGGCGACTCACACGTTGACCTGATGGTTATAGCTCGCATTCATGGGGAACCTCCCACTTGTCAGGCCCTGCTCTAAGACCTCTGTGTCTCATTCAGCCTTCCCAACAGGCCCCCAGGTACAGTTTCCACACCCCTTGTCAGATGAAGGGAGGGAGGCGGAGGAGGTTAAGTTCTTCACTTGGTGAGTGAGTTGTAGGAACAGGACAGGCCCCAGGCGGCCTTGCTGTGAGGACCAGTCCATCAGTGGGTGTGAAACTATACATGAATGGTCTTAGCTTTTGGAGGAAAGCAGGCTCTTTTGAGAATCAGCTGTCAAGTATCTTCCCAGAAAAAAACTAAAAAAAAAAAAAAAAATTCTCAGCATTTTTGTACAATTTTAGGAGTTTGTCCATTCAGAGCCCCCTCTCCCAGGGAGGATCCTCAGCCATCATAGCCTAAGCTGCCCTCTTCCCCTCCTCTCAGGACTCATCCCAAGGGAACTCTGAGTATCAGATCGCCATGGTGCACTATATCAAGAAGAAGTACCCCCACCTCCAGCTGATTGGGGGGAATGGTGAGTGTAGAACCCCCCGTCACCCCTGGCCCTTGCCCCCTCACCATGTAATTTCCTGTCCTTCCGCATCCCAAGGTGATGGCATATCTACATGGGAGCCTGGGGGCTGAATGAATGGGCTTTGGTCACTGTAGGTGGGCATGGGGCTGGACTGGGGTCCCAGGGCAGGGCGGGGGCATCCCATCCTCATACTATTCCTCTTCCCCTGCCACTCCCCACCTTCCCCCAGTGGTGACAGCAGCTCAGGCCAAGAATCTGATTGATGCTGGTGTGGACGGGCTACGTGTGGGCATGGGCTGTGGCTCCATCTGCATCACCCAAGAAGGTGGGTATCAGTAGGAGAAGAGTGACTGCCACTGAGAACACCCCACTGGCCCCCCATAGGCCCTGGGGCCTCAATCTTGTCCCCTGGATACATGCCGAGTGGCTTGCTCTGCCAGGCTCCTTCCTGGGATGGTGGGTTCGGGGGTGACCCAGGCTCAGACTCTGCCTGTCTGGCTCAATGACTTGGGGGGAGGCAGGTGTAAGATGAGGTTACTGAGAGCTTTAGGTGTGTGCCAGCCTGCTTCTCAGATTCTGGTCAAGGAGACCCAAGCTAGAGGCCCAAGGCTGTTGTGACCACTTCTCTGGCTGGTGCGTACGGGAGGCTTGCGCACAGTTTGGATTAGCTCCGTGACGAGGCCGATGCCTAAGTCAGGGAGACGGCATGTCCTTAAATGTCTAAGGATGTAAACTTTATCACCATGTGCTGCTAGCGAGGGAGGGGTTCCACTCAGTCACAAAGCCCTTTTGCAGGGTAGATACCCAAACACGAAGAGGAGGGGAGTGGGACCCTGACCATGTGTCCCCCTGTGGTTGAGGGGTGTTCCCTGGAGGCTGACAGGTGGGTCCTTGCTTGGCCTGAGGGGATGGACTGGCCCCTCTAGGGAGGTCATTTACCCAGAACACTGAGTGATCAATTTGGGGTTTTCTGCTCAAAACGTCTCCCTTTCTGGTCTTCAGAGCCTCTGCTTTTAAGTTTCTACCCTTCACTTTAGCTGACCACTGCGATGAAACGTGGGCCTTCCATTCAGTCACTCGACAAATACTGAGTACCTGTGTGTCAGGCATTGGTCTCAAACTTGGGATGCAATAGGGATAAAACAACAGACCCCCTGGAGAAGGCCTCTTCCCTGCCTTATCGGGCCTTGCATCCATCCCTACATACATGCAGGTTCCTTATTCCCATTTGGAACCTCACACTTAAGGACCTTGGACAGTTAACCTTAAACAAATGCAAGGCAATATCCCGAAGGAGGTCATGATTACCCTAGTAGCAGGCTTTGCAAACGAAGCCTCGAAGGGGAACTTGCATATGGAGAGAGGTGAGGCTGGGGGCCACCAGGCCTGAGTGCACCAGTGTAGGGGGTGCAGTATTCCCAAGGCCAGTACCGACCCCTCTCCTATCAGAATGCCCCATAGCGTTGTCGTGGATGGGGTGGTCTGGGTCTTTGGAGTGACAGCCACCCTAGTGTTATTTGCTGCCACCCATCTGTCCCTCAGAAGAAACATCGAGGCTGGCCTGTCCCTTTTCCTGAGTGGAGGTAGGGCACAGGGAGAAGCGGCCTGCCTCTGGCCCCTCTGTTGCTGTTGACATCTCTGTCTTGCGTCCCCTCCCACAGTGATGGCCTGTGGTCGGCCTCAGGGCACCGCCGTGTACAAGGTGGCTGAGTACGCCCGGCGCTTTGGGGTGCCAGTCATAGCTGACGGTGGCATCCAGACTGTGGGACAGGTGGTCAAGGCCCTGGCCCTGGGAGCATCCACAGGTGAGGGGGTCTGCTGGGGACTGGGCAGGCCTGTGAGGGGCTGGGAGCTGGGCTAGAGGCGCTGACCCTGCCCCTCCCCCCACCGCAGTGATGATGGGCTCCCTGCTGGCCGCCACCACGGAGGCCCCTGGCGAGTACTTCTTCTCCGATGGGGTGAGGCTCAAGAAGTACCGGGGCATGGGCTCCTTGGATGCCATGGAGAAGAGCAGCAGCAGCCAGAAACGATACTTCAGGTGCCCTGCCCCTGAGCCCTGGTCCCAGGCCGATCAGCCCGCAACCCTTCAAGGGTCCCCACATGCCTTTGAGTTCCTGAATAGCACCGAGTCTCCATATTATATTTCTGGGAACTGAGTCACAGGGCACAAGTCGCAGACCTCCTGACTCGGAATCCATGCTTGCTTATGCTTTAGCCCTTAGCTGTGTGGCTGCTTTGGGGGTTCTTCCGTTGGTGCCCTTGAGAGATGGGGTGAGGTGCCCTGAGCCATGGGCTGTCTGGCTCAGTCTCCCTGCCCTCCATACAGTGAGGGGGATAAGGTGAAGATCCCACAGGGCGTATCAGGTTCCATCCAGGACAAAGGCTCCATTCAGAAGTTCGTGCCCTACCTCATAGCAGGGATCCAGCATGGCTGCCAGGATATTGGTGCCCGGAGCCTCTCTGTCCTGCGGTGAGTGCTGTGACTGGGGGCAAGGGCGTGGCGGGTGGGTGGCACCTGGGAGGCTCTTGGCTCCCCCACCCCTGCTTCCTTCCTCTCCCTGCCTCTCCCTCCCCCCTCCCCTCTTCCCTTGGTGCCCTGACCTGCCCCAACAATCTCCCTGCAGGTCCATGATGTACTCGGGAGAGCTCAAGTTTGAGAAGCGGACCATGTCGGCTCAGATCGAGGGTGGTGTCCACGGCCTGCACTCGTAAGTCGGTGGCCTCCTTGCCCCAGCTGCTGGCTCTGGGTCGGGCAGGTGGGACCGTGGTTCAGAGGCTGAGCTGAGGTTTCAGGGGCCCCATGGACCATCTCCACCAGGGATGGTTATTGCTGCAGGATGTCCAACCCACCCTTGAGCCCTGTCCTTGAGCCCTTAGGCAGACAGGCCTCTCCCCTCCTCCTAGGCTCCCATCCCTTGCTTCCTTACAAGCTTGGTGGCTGGTGGCTGGTGGCAGGAGCTGGCAGTGTTGGGCTCTTGCTGGTGGCAGCCCCAGGCAGGCAGGTATAGGCTAGGGACGAGTCCTCTGTCGGGAGAAGCAGAGAGACAGCTGCCAGGGCCAGCGCTGGGGCGACCATGGGTGGGGGCAGTGCTGGTCAGCAGCAGTAGTAGCAGGCATGTGGCCCCGCCTGGTCGAGAGGGCCTGTCCCCCCAGGCATAGGCGGGCATCTAACCTCTGTCTCTTTCTGCCCCATCCTCCCGTAGCTATACCTTTCTGCCGTGTAAGTAACTGCGCTGCCCGGGCAAGCGTAGAGTAGAGGCAGGGGCACTTTGGGTGGGACCTGGGCTTGGGGTGGGAGGGGGACACTGCATTGGGGGCGGCCTGGGGGTGTAATCATGGGACATGGACCCTAGGACTAACACCGTGCAGAGGGCAGCCAGCAGTGGCCGCTCCTCCGGCAGAATCTGTAGTACAGTGCGATGTCCCTGACCACAGGCCCGAGGCTGCCCGCCTTGGACTGGACCCAGTGACCACAAGGGGCCTGGGCCACCTGATGTGAAGGGGTGGGATGGAGACGTGGGCAGCAGAGGTTCAGTGTGGTCAGGGCCAGGCCTTCCTGACGCTCCAGCTGAGGACAGTCTGCTCAGCTCTGACCGTGGCCTGAAGGAGCGTGGCTGTCTCTGGGCCTGGGAGGACAGAGGCACGGGGCCTGCTCTCCCCCCGCCCCCATGGCTGAGAGGCGGGAGCTTCTGCAGTTCACTGCCTCTCTTTCATCTGGGGGGCTGCCTGGCACCCCCGGGCCTAGGCAGGGGCGTCTGGGAAGGGAGCAGGGTCCACAGGCCCACTTTCAGTGCCCCTCCTGCCTTGTCCCCACAGTTACGAGAAGCGGCTGTACTGAGGACGGTGGTGGAAGCTGTGGTGGAGGCCGAGGTGGCAGAGAGGGCACGCCCCAGGGCCCCCCGTTAGGCACAGCCTCCCTCCAGAACTGAGTGGTCCACAGATTTGCACTATGGGGCCCAGTTCCTTTCAAGGGAGAGAGCAGGGGAGGCTCGGAGGGTCTGCGGGCCCTTGCTGGGCATCCCCTGCAGAGTCAGGATGCTCCTGGGGCCACGCCTGCCTCAGGTTTTCTCACTGCAGCCTGCTCTGGCCTGGCTCCCTCCCCTGGGGCAGGTGGCCCCTCCTGGCTTCTCCTATAGGGTTCCTTCCTCCCCACCCCTCACCCCAGAAATGGTGCTCTCCTGGCCCTGCCTCTGGCTCCTTCCTGGGCCACTGCCCTCTCAGCCATGGGGTACTTCTGGGCTCCTAACCTAGGCCAGAGGGAGGTCTCTGCCCCATTCCCCTGGCCCTAGGCCTCCTGCTCCTCAGTCCACTCTCTCTTCCCCTGCCCTGGGGAGGAGGCAGCCCATCATTTTTGACTCACCACCATCCCCAGGTGGACCAAGCCTGTCCTCTCCTCTCAGCTGCAGTTGAAGGCTTTAACTTTGCACACTTTGCGTCACAGTTATGTTGTATATTAAATAATCTGAATAAAGAGGTTACAATGTTTCTGCTGTCCTGTCTTTGTCCCTTGTCCACTGAGCAGTTGACCCCCATCCTGCTGGTGAGCTGAAGCCCAGAGTCCCATCAG